GTGGATATGATTGACCACAACAAGAAACTCCCCGATGGTACTGGCTGCGAATGGTGGTTTGCGCTGGCGCACGATAGCTACATTTGGCAGGGCTAAGAGGACAAGTTTGTACGATTCGCCGTCGACCAGCAAAGTGCGGACGACGCGAACTGAGACGCCCGGCCCGTCCGCCAAGACGTGAAATCGAACCAGAGCGAGCTGGACATGCACGCCAATTCCAAGCTTTTGACCTCCACCTTCCGACCCCCAACTCTCGCGTCCACATCCCGACTTCCAGCGTGCGACGTCCGATTTTTCACTTCCACCTCCACCTATCGACCTCCGGCTTCTTGCAGCTCACCACTCCCGGCTCCAGCATCCAGCATTCCAACTTTCACTTCAACACTCCGACCTCCACCCTCTAGCAGCATGTGACTTTCCACCTCCACCTCCACCCATCGACCTCCAGCGCCCAGCAGCTCAGCACTCCGACCTCCGCCCTCCAGCGTCCGACTTTTCACCTCCAGTTCCACCTGCCGACCACCCGGCATTCCGACTCCAGCATCCGGCTTCCGACTCTCCACTTCCACCTGCACCACTTGACCCCTGGCGTCCGCCAGTTCATCACTCAGCACCCCGACCTCGACAAACAAGGACAACAAACGCTGAGGACCCCGGCCCCCCCGCGCAGGCCCTAAAGGGCCCCGGTCCCGGCGGAACCGCGCGGTCGCTTCGCCTCGTATGCATGGTGGCTGGACTGCTGGGGCTGGAATGGTGTCGTAGCTGGTCCATGGGTCGTGCAGCGTGGTTACGGGTGTGGCTGGTGGGTCGGGTTCTGCCGTGCGTGTTGTGGGGGGAGCTTTTGGTTGCATGAAGCTGGCTTTTGTGCTGATTGTGATGCTGGTTTGCGTCTTGCTTGATGAAAGGTGTGGGGTCTGATGTGTCGTGTGCAACGTTTGTGTAGTAGGTCTTGCCAGTCGTATTCCGTTTTCTTTACTTCCTAGCCTTTCCGAGTTTTTTTGCCATCATAGTTGGTCGTAAACGCGTCATCGTTGGCCATGTTTGTGCGGATTTTTGAAGTCATTGCTGTATTGCGTAGACGGTCCCAGATCTCTCCTCCTTCTCGTCTTCCCCCTCTTCCGTTCAGTTTTCTTATGTTTACTTCTTCTTTGTCACATCCCCAAGCATTTCTGTAGGGCGGGCCGTGCGTTTCGGCTGAGGCGATCCTGATACTACAAATTCAAAGCAGCCTCCAAGATGGATGGAGGGGGGGTCGTTTTCAAAAGGTGGCTCTCACCCTAGCGACGGGCGCATTTGTTTGAACCCCTGGACGGAACGGAGGTGGTTTTCAACATGTGGCTTTCTCCTTGGCGCCGCGCACGTTCGTTTTAAAAGTCTGCCACCGCTTCAATGGAGGGGGGGGGCTGGGGCCCTCGTCTGATCGCCGCACACAGCCGTCTTATCTTTTAGGGACAGCTTCAGGTGGGTAAGGGTTTTTTTGGTCAACCTGGGGCTCTCACATCATCGCCGGGCACACTCATGCCACATATGCACATTAGGTTCAGGGGCGGCGGGGGGAAATGTGGCTCTAGCCTTAGCGCTGAGTGCACTCGTCCTAAACGCGTACAGCAGTCTCAAGGATGGAAGGTGGGTGGCTTTCAATATTGGGCTTTTGTTTTTTTGCGCCGTGCGCATCAATTTCAGGTTGGAGTGTGGTTCCTTTTCAGAGCAGGCTTTCACCTGAACGCCGCCCACATATTATATTTTTCTGACAAATCGCAGCATTTAGAGGGTTTGGGGACTTTTTTTTCCGCAAGCGATATGTGTATTTAGGGTGCCTTACTTTTGTTCAGATGAATTGGGCCGTGTCTGCGGTCTGCCGCCTATGTGGCCGCCGTCGGCGCCCTGTCGACGCCTCGTCGCCGCCCGTCGTCTGGGCCGTGTCTTCGGTCTGGCGGCCGTGTTGTCGCCGTCGGCGCCGTGTCGACGCCTCGTCGCCGCCCGTCGTCTGGGCTGGTGTGGCGTTCTTGTGGCTATGTTGTCGCCGTCGCCGCCGCCCCGTCGCTGCCTCGTCGCCGCTCGTCGTCTGGGCCGGAATGGCGGTCTGGCGGCTACGTTGTCGCCGTCGCCGCCCCGTTTCCGCCCAGTCGCCTCCCCGTATCCGCCTCGTCACAGCCATATAGCTTCACACAGATTGCACCACATAGATTGTTCCACATGCATTGCTTCACATAGATGTCTCTACACATACTGAACAACATATATTGCACCACAATGACCGCACACACACACACACTACACACATTTCTATATACATATATATATATAGCACCACGTAGACTTGCACAACATGAATTGCACCTCGTAGGTCGCAAACCATATCTTGTTATAGTGGACTAAAACAGACTGCACGATCACAACAAATATTGCACAGCATGGGTTGCACCACATAGGTTGCACAATATATATTTCACACGCATAAGCTGTATCGCATCTACTGCACCACACATAGTGCTCCACATATATCGCACAAACATTGCACTACAAATAATGCGACACATTTAGCCTGCACATCTATTGCACAACCTAGATCTTACAACATACATTGGAACACATATACATCACGACATAGACTGCTGCACAACATGGATGGCACGACATATATTGCACAACGTAGATGCCCATATTGTGCCACATATGTATTGCACCGCGTAGACTGCACCACGTATATTGCACCACGCATATTGCACAACATACACTGCACCACATAGGTCGCACAACATACACTGCACAACAATTTTGCAGACCAGTATTGCGCAACATATATTGCACAACATTGAACCACGCATATTGCTCCACATAAGTTGCCCAACATATATAGCACCGCATATATTCTCCTTTCTAAAAGAAGAATAGACTCTACCCCCCCGGAGTTAACGATCCACCCTGGGGTATTGCGATTTTTTTCATATTTATTCGGCACGCTCGTCCATCGTCAACATGAATTCATACTACCCCAGCCAAACTGGAATCACTCCCTCCCCCCATCCCTTGCAACATCTACTATGCGCGCGCTCTCGTGTATCAAAAGTCATAAGTTTCCAAGAATCCCTTGCAACAAATGGGACGAAATGCACACGCGCGCGTCGTCACGCGCGCATGCGGAAATCTTTCAAGAACCTTCGGTTTCGCAAGGATTCCAAAATCGAGTTTCCCAAACACATACAAAAAACATGGTTTCGCAACACTGATGGTCTAAAATAGCTTACGCGCGCTCTCTTTCGAAATCGTAAGGAAACCATAGGTTCTTCAATATCTTTTAAAATGCTACCAAACGGGCTTCGCGCGCGCGTATGTCGAAATCTTTCGAACGCCCTTGCGCGCGTGCCGCCGCCGGGAACCCTTTGCAAAAAACGGGACGAAGTGCAGACGCGCGCGTCGTCGCGCGCGCATGCCGAAATCCTTCAAAAACCCTCAGTTTCGGAAGGATTTCAAAATCGTGTGTCCAAAAAACATATATAAACTCAAGGTTTCGCAGCACGGATTTTCAACAAAGGCGTGCGCGCGCGCTCTTGCGTCGTCGTCGTCGTCGTCGCCCTCCTCCCTCCTCCCTCGTCGTCGTCGTCGCCGTCGTCGTCCTCTGTCTTTCCTCGTCGTCGTCGTCGTCGTCGTCTTGGCGTCGTCGTCCTTCCTCCCCCGTCGTCTTCGTCGGCGTTTCGTCGTTGTCCCTCCTATTTTGTCGTCGTCGTCGTCGTCGTCGTCTTCCCTCCTCCCTCGTCGTTGTCGTCGCCGTCGTCGTTTTACCTCCTCCCTCGTCGTCGTCGTCGTCGTCTTCGTTGGCGACGCCGTCGTCGTCGTCGTCGTCGTCGTCGGCGTCGTCGTCGTCTTCGAGGGCGTCGTCGTCGTCGTCGTCGGCGGCGGCGTCGTCGTCGTCGTCGTCGTCGTCGTCGGCGGCGGCGTCGTCGTCGTCGTCGTCGGCGTTGTCATCGTCGTCGTCGTCAGCGTCGGCGTCGTCGTCGTCGGCGTCGTCGTCGTCGGTGTTGTCGTCGTTGTCGTCGTTGTCGTCGTCGTCGTCGAAGTCGTTGGAGACGTCGTCGGTGTAGTCGTAGTCGTTGTCGGCGGCGTCGTCGTCGTCGTTGTCGCTGTCGTCGTCGGCGTCGGTGTCGTTGCCAAGTGCCATTTGGTACCCACCTTCACGGTCTTAAGAGGTCTTGCGACCAAGTTGCGGGTTGGAGGGTGGGATGTTTGCACGAGCAGTGGAGAGGACAGCTTCAAGTTGAGCAAATGATGATTGCACCACGTATATTGCTCCACACAGGTTGCACCACATATATTGTTAGACACATATTGGTTGGGGTCCAAGCTGACGCTCAACATTTTTTTTTTTTTTTTTTTTCTCTCTCTCTCTCTCTCTTCTTCTCTCTCTTCCTCTCTGACTTCGTTCAGTAAAACAGACTCGGAGTTTCAACGAACGTGTAAGACCCGACTCCCGCAGGACATGTCTCTTTTGCAGGGTGCTCCAGCTCAATTCGTGAGCACGGCATTTGAGGTAGCTCAGCGACCGGGCTTGTCATCGTACTGAACAAAATGCATCGAGGGCGGCTCTTTTTCTTCAACATTAAGTTTTCGCCTAGGACTTCTTCGACGTGCATAACCACACTTTTTGTCAGCGGCCGCGGGCGAGCGCGCCGGCGGAAAATGCATAACCACACGCGTAAAGATGAGAATTGTTGTACGGATCGGGGGCGGTCCTCCTGCGGGAGTGTGGTCTCGTCGGGCACCTCGTCGCACTGTGTGATCATAGGTTCTTGCAGTCCTGATTTTGCGCCCAGGGGATGCACGGAAACCGGGAGCTTCGCCCAAAAGACAGGTGAAACTGGAACCGCTTGTGGGGACAATGGAGAGGCGGGAGGGTGTGTCCCAGCATCGCTGATGCGTCTTGGTTTTTCTCTGGTCCTCCTCATCCTCCTCCTGGCGTCGGAGGTCTGACGGCGCAGCTGGCGCCCCCCTCCCCCCGAGAGGCCTCACCCTGGAGGCCGCGCAGTCCCTGTCGCCCGCCGACGGCCGCCTCCAGTGCTTGTCCTTCCCCAGGTCTTCGCCGCCGCCGTTGCCGCTGCCGCCGTCCTCGTCCTCGTCGCCGACTTCGCCGCCGCCGTCGCCGCCGTCGCCGCTTCCGCCGCCGCCGTCGCCGTCGCCGTCGCCGTCGCCGTCGCCATCGCCGTCGCCGCCGCCGTCGTCGTCGTCGTCGTCGTCGTCGTCGTCGTCGTCGTCGTCGTCGTCGTCGTCGCCGTACGAACGTCAATGGTAATAATGACGACCGCCTCTGCCACTGACCCCTCAAGCCCTTTTCCGCCCGACAAAGGATGCCAGTCGACCCGTCATCAGTCGCTTGCTTGTTCTCCATCGGTTCCTTCTGCGTCCTGGCGCGATCGTACCCGCCAGTCGCGCCCGTTTGCGGCTGCCAGTGCGACTGTGGGGCCCCAGGCTGGTCCACCTCCCTTGTCTTCGCGGTCGCGCTGGGCCAGCTCTCCATGGGCTTCCTCCTGTCGCGCTGGTGGCGCACGCCGCTGCAGGCAGGGAGCGCTGCCACTGCAGGCGGTGCCGCAGAAGTGCTTGACGTTGCCCACAGGGGCTCGCGGCAGGCTCGAGGGAGGTGAGTGATGGCTTTCCAAGCTTTGGATCGCGGGCGCCGCTTCTGGGCACTCTTCGATCGCGATGAAGCGGAAATTAGTGCTGCAGCCCACGGCAGATGGGCACATCATCGTCACCACCGATGGCGACGTCTACGAGGAGCTGTTCGAGGACTATGTGGACATGTTGGAGAGTGGGGTCGCGGGCGGGGTGCCGAACCGTCTCTCGGGCAACAAGGCGCTCCGCTATGCCTTCCGCGCGGCGGACGTCGCCCGGGACAGCGCGTTCCGCCGGCGGGCGGAGGCCGAGCTGGCCGCCATGGTCGCCGCCCCTGCTGCCGCCGAGGATGGTGGCATGGCGCCGCTCCCCCCCGCCTGGGCCGCCTGCGGGCGCTGGCAAGCTTCGAGGACGACCCCGAGTACTACGCTGCGGGGGCGCTGGTCGGCCACTGCCTCGTGGTCGGCTCACGCTGGTTCGCCGCGGGGACCGAGGGCGTCTTCCGTCGTGGGGGGTCGGTGGTGGTCGGCCACGGACGTCGCCTTTTGGAGCGCTGGGCAGGCTCTGCTTCAGCGCGATGGCGTCTGGGTGAGAATCAGTCGAGACCCACCGACGCCGCCAGCCCACGACCTCGCCCCCGCTGCTGTGGAGGACATTCGCACCGTGGCGGTGGCGTACAATCCTCGTGGCGATCGCGCTCGTAGCTTCGATGGTGCTCGGAGATTGCTGCGCGAGGAGCCGCTGGATGACGCCTGGCCCGTCGAGGGCCCCCGCGCCGTACACTGGCTTGTGGAGGCGTTCGCCCGCAGCGGGATGGCGCCAGTGCCCCGCCACCACTGGTGGCGCCAGGCCCTTGGGGCCACCTCCTCAGATCCTGGCATCGACGAGCGCCTTTTCCTTTCGGAGATCTTGCAGCGGGGGCTGCAGTGCGACCAGCTCAACATCTGCAACCTTGCCTGCTTCGAGGGCGTGGCCCGCCGCTACCAGCTCTGGGAAGAGAGGTGCGCCGAGCGCATCCGCGCCGCGACCGAGGGGGTCTTCGCGGCGGGCCTCGCGGTGGAGCGGCACCTCTTCCCAGGCTGTGGTCGCCCCAAGGGCTGCGCATTGGCGTCGCCGGAGCTGGAGCGCTGGGCGGCCAAACGCATGGAGGAGGAGGTGGCCGCAAGGGCCGCGAGAAGAGGGCGCTGGCGGCGGCAGCCACTTTGCCGGCGGCGCTCGCACCAGGCAGCAAGGATAATACCAATGAGAAAAAGGACGGCCAGACTGGCGCCTCGGGCAGCGGCTCGGTGGGGCAGGCCTGACTGCTTATCAACCCGTGCTACCCTGCAGCGACTTCGGAACCCCCCTGACCGAGACCGCCTGTGCACGTGGGTAGGTGGCCGAGCGTGCGCGCCGCCGCTATGCCGCCAGGTCCCGCGGCGGATCCCGGGGATTTGTCGCCCTTGCCTGCTGCGCCGCCGCCGGGCCGCGGAGCTGACGGCTGCTCGGCTCAGGCGTGGCTGCATGGGGGCGTGCGGGCCCTCAATGAGATGGGGGGGCGCGGTGCTCTTCGGCGTGCTGGACCAGCGTTTGGGACCCACGTCGATGCGATGAAGTGGCTGGAGAGCTGCTTCGATGCCGTGCCCAGCTGCCCGTCGGACCAGACCGCCGAGGCGGCCGCCCTGGCCGTCGTCGGCTCCGATCCTGGCTGCGCTTTCGACGACGTCGCCAGCGGGAAGTGTGCCGCCTGCCAGCGCGGGAAGGTATCGCTCCCGCGCGTCGCGTCAGCGGTAGTCAACTTGGCAGATGTGCTGCCCCCGAGGCATGCTCCTTGCTGACGGGTGAGACTGGGGCCTTGCTCGAGGGAGGCTCGACTACATATTCGTTCGCATCGGGTGCGAAATTTGCTTCTGGCAGGCGGCTCGCGCGCAGCCCAGCCTCCCGCGGGAAGTTTTTGGCCGACCTGCTCGAGCGTGACGTGCTCGAGGTTGACGCGTTTTTCTCGCAGGTGGCGTTCTTCTTCGTTTACAAGAAGGACTTTACCCTCGGGCTGATCTTCGACACCAGGGGCGCGAAATGGAGGTTCTCCGACCCCGATTACGTTTCCCATGCAGCTGCTCCGGTCCTGGCCTCGGTGGGGGTGCCACCTGGTGAAAGGCTCTCCGTCGCGCAGGGCGACGCCGCTTGCTGCTTCTACCAGCTCTTGCTGCCGTCGCACCAGCGGGGGGCTTTCGGCTTGCCGCCTGCGCCTAGGGCAGCGCTGCCGCCAGCGGCCCGCCGCGCCGTGGGGGCTCCCCCGCCCGATGGGCTTGCGCGGCTGCGGCTGCGCGTGGCCCCAGTGGGATGGTCTTGGGTTCTCTACTTCGCGCAGCAGGCCATGCGGCGCACCCTGGGCGCCTGCGCCCCAGCGGATCGCCTGCTCGCCCAGTGCGTGCCGCGCGCCAGTGCAGCCTGGCTCGGGCGTCTTGCTGATCTATATCGGCAACTTCGCCGCGCTCGCCACCTCGCGGGAGGGGGCCGACTGCCGCTTGGAGGAGATGCTGGCTGCCGTGGCGGCTGCTGGAGTGGGCGCCAGCCCTGAGCCTCATGGCTCGCCGCTGCGGCACGCGGTGGCGCCCCTCGGCTCGCGAGTTTTGGCGCGTGGCTCTGGCCTTGTGCGCGCTGGGCCGGGGTGGGGCTCGCCGCGCGGGGCGTCAGCGCCCGCGTGGTGGGCCGCGCCTCAGCTATCGTGCTGCCGCTGCCCGAGATGCTGTCGGTGTCAGCCTGCGTCTTCGCCGACCGCTTCTTCGCCCAGCCTGCCCGCATCTGGGCATCGGCGTGGAAGGAGCTGCGGGCTGCCTGGGCGCTGCTGCCGCTGGCTTTCGCCGATGTGAGCCTACCTTGGTCACCGGCGGCGGCCGCGGTGGACGCCTCGCTGCGCGGCTTCGGTGTGACAGAGAAGAACTGGGGCGCAGCCGCGGTCGGCGCTGTCGGGAGGGCGCTGGGGCGCGGTCGCCAGCGACGCGCCCTCCGCGCCAACCGCCGCCCCCGCGTCCTCGTGGAAGGGGGGGTGGCGGAGCCTTGCTGGGCCGACGTCGCGGAGGCCTCGGGCGCGCAGCTGAAGGCGCTGGGTCTACAGGCTGCCTTCCAGGAGGTCCCTGTCGACCTGGCGCGGGGCGACGACTGGCGCGTCGTCGCCGCCCGCCGCCGGCTCCGCCGATGCAAGATCTTGGCGCTGGAAGCGGAGGCAGCTGTCTGGCAGGTGAGGCGCTTGGCTCGCGCTCGGGCGAGCGCGCTGCAGCGCCGTCTCATTCTCTCTGATTCGATGGTTTGGGTCCTCGCTTCGTGCAAGGGTCGAAGTTCAGCTTGGTGCCTGTTGCGCAGGTGCCGCGAGTTTTGTGTTATGACGTCGTCGCCCGGGGCGCGGATGGCCCTGCCTTGGGTTCCGTCAGCGTGGAACTCGGCAGGTGAGCCCAGCAGGGGGTGCTATCCGTCCTCGTCGCACCACGGTCGGCATTTTCATCGGGATTTGCAAGCGGCAGAGGGTCTCTACGCGTATCGGTCTGGGAGTAAGGAGCGTATCTCAACATTTGCTATGACATCTCAGCATCGACGTCAGCCTGATCATGAACTACAGCAAGTAGCTATCCATCATTTGCAACCTGCAGTTCATCATCATGCGCAACTGCAAAAGCCTGGGCTGCAACAACATCTGCAGCCCGAGCATGATCCAGGAGTTACAGCAACAGCCTGAACTATGTCGATGCGCCTCCAGCAAGGAGCAAGCACTCCAATGGAAAGCACTCGTCATTCAAGACAATCAACAGCCTGATCTTCATCTTGACCCGTTGTCACCTGGAATCGATGATGTCCTGAGGGGTCTGGCGGACAGCCCTGGCCCCCGCGACCAGCTCCGCGCGGTCGCGATAGCCGAGGCGAGGCTGCGCGGCCCCGCTGCCGCGGACGGACTGCGCGAGCAGCTTGCCGCAGGACGGGCCAAGGCGCCGCTCTTCGCAGCTCCCTTCGCCGCAGGCTTCCCTGGCCCCGGGCATTCAGGGCCGCCGACCTTCGGCGCCTCGGCAGGAGACGAGGGCGCGGGCTCCGCGGATGGCCTCCCAGCGCCCGGGCCGCGAGCCACCCTCGCCGCTCGCGGGCGTGGCGCTGGCGCACCAGCCGCCGCCAGTGGCAGCGAGGCTCGCCGTGGTCCCAACGGGCCCCGTGCGCCCGCTGCTGGGGCGCCCGCCGGTGCCCGACCGCGGCGAGACGGGCGCGGGTCGTCGGGCGAGGCGCTTGCTTGCCAGGCAGCGGCCCGGCTCGGCGCTCGACGAGGTCAGCGGGCGGGCGGCGCAGCAGCTGGGCTTCAGCATCAGCTCGCTCGCGGCCGCCGCTGTCGCGCCGGCGACGCAGCGGAACATCCTGCAGGCGTTGCGCCGGCTGCTGGCCTGGCTGCGGGTGCCGAGGGCGCCCCCGCTGGCGGCTGCCGACTGGGGCCTGTTGCTGGAGCAGTGCGTGGATTTCTTGCGCAACCGGGGGCTGCCGGAGGGAGACGCCGCGAGCGCGCGCGCGGCGGTGCGCTGGGGGCTTCCCCATCTGCCGGGCCCGCTGACGCGCGGGCCCCCGCTGGCGACAGCCGTCGTGACTGGCTGGAGGCGGCTGCAGAAGCCTCTGTCGCGGCCCCCCGCGCCTCGCCTCGTCGTTGTTCTGATGGCGCTGTGGATGTGCGTTCGAGGCCACGAGGACATCGCGCTGTTCCTGCTGCTCACCTTCGAGACATGCATGCCGCCGAGCGAGGGGCTCGCCCTGGTGGGCATGCAGCTGGCGCCGCCTGTCCCAGGCGACGCGGGCGTCTGTCAGTATTGGGCGCTGCTGGTCAGAGCGAGCGAGCTCGACGCGCTCGGCGAGACAGGCGAGTTCAACAACAGCGCCGCGCTGGACCACCTGCCGCGCCACCGCCTGCTGGAGCCAGCTCTGCGCCGCCTGAAGCGGTTTCGTGCAGACGGCTGCCCGCTCTTCAATTTCTCGTACGTGGACCTCTTCCAGGCTTGGAACAGTTGCCTTGCCGCCCTGAGCTTCCTGCGTCTGCGGGTGGCGCCGTGCTCGCTGAAGCTTGCGCGAGAAGGGCTGCGGCTGCTTTCCGTCTGACAAGCTTCATGGGCCGCAGCTCGATTTGGGCCGTGGGGATGTGATGCTCGCAATTGCTGGCTGGATGCGCGCTGGCCTGATCCGGGGGCCGTGGTTCGCGACGCCGTGTGTCGCCGCGACGCGCGCCGGGGCTGACGTGTCTGGCCGCATGCCGCCGCCCCTCAGATCTACCCAGCACTATCGCGGCTTGCCTGGGCTAGGTGAACACCATCGAGCCCTGGTCCGCGATGCCAGTAATCTAATTGACGCTGGTGGCCGTTTGCAGCAGTTAGCTGGGGAGTTCGGCATTCCGTGTGGTGAGGAAAACCCGCGGGCGTCCATGCTCTGGTGTTTCCCCGATCCCCTTAAGGCGTTAGCGCGAGGCACCGCCGTTGATGTAGACTTTTGTGCCGCTGGAGGGCCCACGCGTAAAAGGACGAAACTCGTGTTTCAATATTGTGGTTCCCCGTCGGCGCTTCACCTCAGATGTCATGGCCGTGCTGGATTGTTCGTTCACCAACCGCAAGCATGTGCATATTAGGGGTAAGATAAATGGGCAGTGGTTCTCCAAAGTCTCGGAGCCCTATTCCTCGGTGATAGCAAAATTAATCGGCGATGTTCTCACGCGTTCGATTCATCGCCGAGCTGTGGCTACGCTCAGTGCTCTTTGATCGTTCGCTCGCCAGTCTACTGCGTTGGAATGGTGTGGTTAGGGGATTCAAGTTTCTTGGTGCGCCTTCTTCGCGCGTGCCCACGCATTCGGTTATCGACGCGTTGAATCCTAGCGCCGTGCCTCGACTGACAAAACGTTCTGGCTTGTGGGAGGGTCATGTGAATGTCAATCGTAAGGTTGACGACCGCTTCTGCCAATGACCCCTAAAGCCCTTTTCTGTCGTCCCGATGCCAGCCCTCGCCTCGACAGAGGTTGTGTGGTGGATTTAAGTCTCTCGGCACGCCTTCGTCGCGCGTGCCCACTCATGAGGTTATCAGCGCGTTGAATCCCAGCGCCGTGTTTCGACTGACAAAACGACCTGGCTTGTGGAAGGGTCATCGCCGTCGCCGTCGCCGTCGCCGCCGTCGTCGCCGTCGACGTCGTCGTCGTCGCCATTGTCGTCGCCGGCGCCGCCGCCGTCGTCGTTGCCGTCGCTGCCGTTGCCGCCGTGGTCGTTGTCGTCGTCGTCGTCGTCGCCGTCGTCGTCGTCGTCGTCGTCGTCGCCGTCGTCGTCGTCGTCGTCGCCGTCGTCGTCGTCGTCGTCGTCGTCGTTTTCGTCGTCGTCTTCGTCGTCGTCGTCGTCCCCGTCGCCGCCGTCGCCGTCGTCTCTGCCGCCGCCGCCGTCCTTTTCGAATCGCTGCCGCCGCCGTCGCCGTCGTCGCCGCCGTCGTCGTCGTCGGTGCCCTGCCCTGCTCGTCACCCCAGGTCCTTCGACTCGGCGCCCCAGAGGCCACCCGCCCCGCCGACGACGCCCCGGAAGATGTGCCGGATTAAAGAAGGCCTTGCCTCCTCCTTCTCGTCCTCCTCGTCTTCCCCCTTTTCTCCTCCTCCTTCTCCTCCCGTTCTTTTTCCTCTTTCTCCTTCTCCTCCTCCTCCTCCTCCTCCTCCTCCTCCTCCACCTCCTCCTCCTCCTCTTCCTCCTCCTCCTCCCCCTCATCATCCATCATCGCACATCTCGAGGCGCCAGGGGCACTATGCGAGTCTCCCCTCTGGCAAGAGGGCATCCGAGAGGGAAACAACTTTCCAGCACCGGTGCCAGAGCTCGAGCAAGGAACGCCTCGCACTCCATCGGTGGTCCAAGACAGCGTAGAACGCCCCATGCAGCCCCACATCCTGACAGAACAGGACAGAGAAAAGAAGCGCGACATTGTGCACCTAACCAAACCCGGCGGCACGCACCTTGGCGTGCCACGCGTTCTGAAATGTCCGAGCAGCCAGGCGCAAACGCCTTCAGATAACGGCACGCCTTTTGGCGTGCCGCCCCAGTAAGCTTCCGTGGAACACCACCCCCACGCGAGACAAGCCTACATCACTCCCGCCCCAACTGGGGACTGGGGCCGAGGGAAGGACGGGTGGGGCAAGACGGGCGACGAGGTGACAGAAGTCTCTCCACCTCCCGCCGCTGCCGAACATCGTGGCTTCCCACGACCCTCGGACAGGCACGGACAAGGTGAAGATCGGACTGCAACCCGCTTGTTTACCTAGGAAGGGAACCCAGAGGCACAGGTGCCCCTCCTCCTCCCCCTCCTCCTCCTTCGCCTCCTCCTTCTCTTCCTTCTCCTCCTTCTCCTCGTCGTCGTCCTCCTCGTCCTCATCTTCGTCTTCTCCCCCCCCTCCGAAAAGGATCGACCCAGGAGTTTAAACAATTCACAGCGGACTAAACTTGGTTGTTTAGTGGATCTACTGTCTCCCTTGTCACGGTCCAGCGCCGGAGTAAATCCATTCCACAGATGACCCTTCTGCTAGCTTCCTCTGCGGAATTCGCTCCAGAAGTAATCCGTGGTAGATCCGCCCAGGTCTGGCCGAATTCCGGAGCAAATCCACGCCATGCCGCGGAACTTCCCCAGGCAGCCTTGACCGTGAATTTACGCTGGAATTTTTCCGCGGGGTCCCATGTCGGCCCGCACTGCTTTCGCCTGGGCCTCGCAGGTTACAGGGCGCGAATGAGCCGTGCTCGTATATTCATCCTGGAATCAATTCATCCCGCCGCGGCTTTGACCGTAAACTTACTCTGGAGTAAGCTCGCGGGCCTGAATTCTTACGCTCGCAGGTCCAAAGGGCTCGAACCAGCCGTGCATTTCTGGAGGGGATTCATCCCGTCGCGGCCCTGACCGTGAATTACTTTGGAGTAAACTCGCGGGTTCCATGTTGGCCGGTGTTGCTCTCGCCTGGGCCTGAATCGTGACTCGCGGTTCCCAGGGCGCGAACTATCCGCGCGCGTAGATTAATTCTGGAGTCAATTCATCCCGCCGCGGCCTTTACCGTGAAGTTATTCCAGAGAAATTTCGAGTACACTCGCGGGTCCCAGGGGCTCGAACCAGCCGTGCCCGGAGATTATTCCTGGAGGGAATTCATCCCGCCGCGGCCTTGACCATGAATTATTCTGGAGTAAGCTCACGGGTTCCATGTTGGCCCGCGCTATTATCACCTGGGCCTGGATCATGACTCGCGGGTCCCAGGGCGCGATCTAGCCGTGCCCGTAGATTCATTCCAGAGTGAGTTCATCCCGCCGCTGCCTCGGCCGTGAATGTACTCCGGAGTAAACTCGCGGGTCCTGTGTTGGCCCGCGCAATTCTTGCAGGGGCCTGAATCAGCACATTCGTGGGTCTCAGAGCGCGAACCAACCGTGCCCGTGAATTGACTCTGAAGTAAATTCATCCCGCCGCGGGCGCTAGAGCGGAAAAGCGCAGCAACGAGTCCTTCGAATCCGTCGAGTGAGTCGTTTGCCCGCGGGACCTGCGCCCGCAAAAACTTGAGGTTTAATGCGCGGTCGCGGGGTCCTCGGGGCGGAACAGCTCACAGAAAAGTCGCAGCGCGAACCAAGCGTTTGCGGGTTTCGCGACGTTCCTGCCTTTTGTTTTCCGTGGTGGTGCTGGGTGGTCGTGCCCTCCTCCTCCTCCTCCTCCCCCGGAACCTGGAACCTGGAACTTGGTGGCATTGGGCCCGATGGTCGGAGGTGCCAGACCTCGCCAGAGGCCTTCGCCGCTGGGGCGGCCGAGATAAAGTAGACAGGGGAGGGGGGTTACCGCGAGGCCAGGGGGAGAGGAGGGAGAAGCCAGGAGGATAACATGCCGTGAGGAGAGGAGAGGAGAAGGGGTTACCGCGAGGCTGCGAGGCCAGGGGTTACTGCGAGGCCAGGAGGATAAGCATCCCGTGCGGAGAGGAGAGGAAAACAGGAGGGCAGAGGGGGTGCGCCTTAGCAATGCGCGCATTCGCTGTGCAGGGTTGCGCAACAGTTTCAAGGATGTGGGACCTCTTGGGGCCTCCTGGGGGGCTCTGGGGCCAAATGGTTCTAAAGCGCCTTTTCGAGTTCCCTGTGTGGGCGCGCTCCGGGAGTCGTCCTGTGGGCCTCGTGGGCCGTCTTGGAGGCCTTTTGGGCTGTCTGGGGGCCCTGTGGGGTCGATTCGGGGCCTCTTGGGGACGTCTGGGACTATCTTGGGGCGAACTGGGGGCGATCTAGGAGGCCTCTTGGGCTGACTTGGAGCGTCGGGGAGTCGAGAACACCAAACACTGTCGAACATTTTTACCTCTTGGGGCTCTCTTCGGGGTGCTTTCGTAGGCGCGCATTCGAAATCCCAGGAGTTGTGTCAGGACGCAATAGTCACGTTGATCTGCGGCGTTGAAGTCCCAGGAATGGTGTTTGGGTATGACTGAAGATTCTCAAACGGTCGTCTTCTCATCGGCAATTTCCAGCAATGAAAACAAATTCCTGTTGGGACCCATGAAGAAAAACATGTGGGGGAGTTTTTTGGTTCAAAAATCGTCGATGCGTCTTAGGTTTACTCTGGTCCTCCTCCTCCTCCTCCTCCTCCTCACGAGGAGGTGGCGAGCACGACGCCGAGAGCGGCGCGGAGTCGGGCGGCGCGGGGCCGGACCCCCCAGACTGACGCATCCTTGGAGGCAGCCGCCGCAGGTGGGTCAACGTCAGGTAGACGCCGAGGCCTACCTGGGCGCAGCGCAGGGTTCAGCCCGCCGCGAGCGGCGGTGATAGCCCGCGCGTGACCGGCATCCACGGCCATCCTGTGGGAGCGGGTGCGCGGCGCAGGAACAGGGGGCCGCAAGTACGTGATACTTGCGTACTTTTCGGGTGTTGCTAGAAGTGCCCCTGGCCCAAGGTACCCCCAGCTCTCCGCTCCATTTTGGAGCCCCTGGGGCCCTCTGGGCCTCGAGAGGGGTGCCCTGGAGGCCGTCTGGGCCACCCCTGGAATCCTAGGGGTACCTTGGGCCAGGGGTACCTCTAGCAACACCCGAACTTTCGCAGGGCCGCCCTTCTCCGCGCACGCGCGCACCCGAGCGGGGCGTCGCGCACGGTCGCGGCGCCTTCGCGCGGTGAGGCCGTCCCTTTTGCGGCCGCCCAGGCGGCGGGCGGCTTCCCCCGCAGCCAACCTTCGCGTCCTTCGGGCGCCGAGGGCCTCGGGCCCAGACCTTGAGGAGGAGGAGGAGGAGGAGGAGGAGGAGGAGGAGGAGGAGGAGGA